CTGCCTGCCTGCATTGAGAGCACTTTAGTTTGTTTTCGACATGGAAAACCCAGAAATTCCACCTTCAAACTCCTTCACTTTCAACTGATCGTGGCGATGAGAAAGAAGACCAGCCGTGGCCCTATTTAGAGTCCATGTTTGCATTTGTCGGAGTGAAAGACAATTCATATAGAATGAAGTGCTTACTCTGCCTCCCGAAAGATTGCAAAATAATGGCCTTCAGAAATTCACCGTCGAATTTGAAGAAACATATCAAGGTAAGTTAAAAATAATATAACACACAAAACACAGCAGTTTGAGCTATCCCTAAGCGCTAGATAAGTTAACTAACATTAGGTACGCGCGGTTCATAACATGCTGCGATGTTCACTTAACTAGCTGGCTATCATAAAGGCTGTCACGCTGAATGGTGTTTTTGATACTGTATATATATATGATGTCTTTTGACTGCTTTCTTTAATAACTGCATAACACAATACTTGTACTTTTACTTTCAGTATTTGAGTAGTAAATTTTAAAATAAACTACTTGCAATACTTAAGTACAAAAAATGTTGAATACTTTAGTACTTCCACTTAAGTATGGTGCTTAAAGAGCACTTCGACTTCTACTCAAGTCACTTTTTTGATAGAGCACTTGTACTTTTACTCAAGTCTGGGTCTCTAGTACTTTATACATCTCTGTGCTTAACCATAAACTCAATGTAAATACAATTACTGTGATTTCAAATAGGAATTGCAACTTGGATACATATATTATGTTTTTGCGTTCATGTATTCTGTTTGATGTTTAGCTTAATGGTATTGTGGCCTCACACCTGCAGAGCTGGGTGTTATATTTACACAGGTATGCTATGGGTGTAGAATGTGATATGAGATGGATTCAAGCAACTAGAGGAGGCGGGACCAAGACATCTGATTGGCTGTTCTGGCCTCTTCTAGTTGGGAGTGGGTCCAAGCAAGATGGTCTTGGTCAGATGTCTTGGTCCCTCTTCGTCTAGTTGCTTGGACCCACCTACTCTACATTCTGATTGGTTATCTCTCTGACCCAATCATTTTTTATTCTGCCCTCAGAACATTTTCTGTGCATGCAAAACTCCCGCAAGCTAAAATTTGCCGAGGGGGACCGATCATGGCGGCCAAACATTTTACTCTCTGAAAAACAATGTGCACTTGAGCTCCCCCTACCTGTGACGGCTGAGAGCACCATCAGTTCCTTTGTTTCACTCTCTTCATATCTCCCACTCGAATTGTTGGGGAAGAGTGAGACAAGGTATGTTCCAGCATCTGTAGCTGTGGCGCTGGTGATGTAAACTTCGGCTGTGCAGTGAGTTACATCGACTCGCCAGGGTCTCCCTGTGTTTGGCCATTGGTCTATCTTTGTACCATTTTTGTTCAGGTTTGCATATTTTATTCCTTTTATGCAGATGGTGCTGTTGAATTGAAATGAAATTGTGACTGGATTGCCTGATGTTACGTTGATGTTTACAGCCATGAGGTGCTCTAATCAAGGAGACAAAAAAAACAGTCAAAATTAATTCAATTATAGTGCTCAAGCAGTCTATTCATACCTAAATGGTGTCCTTATTATTCTGGAAAAAACCTGCGACAGCATGGATTAGATCATTTCAGTCATTCTAATTATTCATAATGAAGCATCATTCTATTGCAATACCTTTGCCATGAGAAGTCGTGCCTCTAGGTTTAACCGAGGGTCGTTAATGGAATGTTTGGTAATGGATTTTGGTGCCTCAATTTTGTATTTGTATATTAAAACGACAGCAGGAAGTGGGCAATGATTGTCGTGTTTGTTTGTTTCATTAGAGACAGACGGAGATGATAGACAAACCCCCCCCACCCCCCGCAGCAGCCTCCTGACCCTCTGCGAACGGCGTGCTGTCATCCCGCTTCAACAGATAGGTAAATTTAACTGACGAGAAGTTTTACTGCTGCCCCACTGGCAAACTCCTCCGTGAGAACCATCCCCAGCGCGTTCTGTCTGCTTAGGCCGCTGTGGGAGGGTGCCGGCATCGCATGTGCGCTCACTCATGTAGCCCAGCAGACAGATTATTTTTTTATTTTTACCCAATCAAACGCAGGTCCTTTTCTTATTAACCCAACACAAATTAATGAATCACTCTATGACATATTAAAGCGTGTGGATAATAGCATCGACAACTTTGACTAATAGGCCTAGTAGGATTTATTCATATTCTTTTATATGGTTTCGTTATTCCAACAGATGTAAATAAAAACAGCTGGAGCAGAAAAAAAATGATGATACCTCTCGAAATATGACGCATGAATGAGGACTGTCATTCAGTTCAAAGAATGATGGAGCATTGCTGCGAGGGAACGGGGACGGGGGACGGGGGACGGGGAACGGAGGACGGGGGACCAAAGGGCGAAAGCTGGAAAGTCCTGTTCACTGAAACATCGGAATGGCCATACGAGACAGAAATAAAATTGAATCATGCTTTTGGTGCCTCTTACGATGCCTTTCCATTGCTAATACACACACACACACACACACACCTATGGAAATGACTATTTTCTGCCATTCTAACTAACTGTGGCCGTGGTTTCATCTAAACTCAACAGCTTCAGTTTTTAACAACTCATCATGTTTTTTTCCCTCATCTTCTAAATTATTTAAGCACCAGTGTCTCAGTTATAATAATACTTCAGCATATTTAAACCAGTTTGGTTATTTTTGTACCTCACACATACCAATATAAACAACAAAGGTATAAAAAGGTTATCACAGAGTATTAAAGTGATTTGCAGCGGCCTGAAGTTTATGGTTAAATACTTTTATATGGATAAATGGAGTTACGCCGTTACATTTCTTTTTGTGTATTATGTTTAATTAAGTTGTTAATTGTGGATAATCTGGATTTGCAGGCAGAAGCATACAAATGACATTGAGTTACAGTTTGAGTTTTACCCAGTACAGGGTCTCTGTGTATAGGTTTGGGGCTATTTGGATGTGTTTATTATATATAAACGTAATAAGTGACATGGGATTGTGAGTTGATTGTGTTGTGTTGATTGTTGTGAGACGTACGTCAGCTCTCTACCATGTCAAGCCAAACACTGGGTGTACTGATGGATTTATGTTTATTTAGTATAATAGACAGCTATCGCTGGAAAAAGGAGGCTTTAGCTTTATGAAAACTGAATAAAAAATGCAAAACAAAACAATATTTAACCCCTGTTCATCGATTGTCAAAAACGAACAAACAAAGAAATAGAAAAATCTAGGTATTTTTTTCTGGAAAATTTTCAGGATCATATTAACACCATGACCCTGTATTCATAAGTACACATAGATCCTGAGATTATACCAAGAAACAGTACTGATTTTGTTACACTTATTTAATTTACATTAATGACACCAAAATCCATACCCACTGAATATCTACAAGTAGGAAACTCCAGTGCTCCTTTTTTGCTCACACACATAAAGACGGAGTGTTTGGTAGTGTGACGTTCATGCGATCCTAAGATATTAACTGGGTTAACTGGATTCCCAAGGGAGCACAGAGGTAATCAATCAATGAGGCGACGGAAATTCTAGACATCAACACGTGTTGAATATCCGAGAGGCTGGAACAATGCCTCTGATTTTTAAATCACATGCAGAATGGGACCGACTTGTTTTGGCGTACTTTGTAAGCAATGTAACTCTGTCAATCGTCAGTTGTCATGCCACACCACTAGCTTATTTTGTTATTCTCTGCGTTCACCAACGCTGGCTGCGAAACTATCACACAGAGTACCAAAACAAGTCCAGAAAATCCCATGCTCCTCTGTTATGACTGAGGGCAATCTTGGAGAACAAGCCTCAGGCAATTAAGAACAAACAGAATTCATTAAGAAAACCACAGAAACGGAAGCAAACGCAGACAGGCTGGGGCAGGTTGGAGACTTACTGTTGTACAAAACAAGGAAGAGGAGGATGATCCTGTAGGCCTGCAGTTTGGTGCTGTGGCCCATAATCCTGGTGCACTGAAGACCAGACTGGCAACTGGCAGCTTCGAGCTGGTGCTTCTCATGCGTGGGGATCATATGCTGCACAGGCAAAGTGCTAAGTTGTACTGAAGCTTTGAGGGGGAGGGGCTGTGTGATGATTGGGTGCCAGAACGTAACCACAGACTTTTCGGGGAAACAGACTGAGAGCATTAATTCTCTATGTATATAATCTATGCGTTTGGAGTTGGAAATTCACACAGACAGACCCATTTTGGCCTATACACATATACACAAAGAAATACTGAATTACCCTCAGCCCTAATCTCACATCATCTACAGCCAGCAGTTCTACGGAAATGTGACAAAATTGTGATTAAACTCAATCGTGAAGCAGATGTATAGTCCCAGTTCAAATGTCATCATATAAAACATAGTAATATATAAATAAAATATAGTGAATTGTGTTATAGGCATTCATTGGAAACTTAGCCTAGATGTCTAATCGACTCATATGTTTTTAATGTACTATTGCTTCACTTGTATACCTCTTTGCATAAATAATTGCTAAGTAATATAAAATATACATGTAAAATGTGGTATATAGTGACATTAGCATCCTGGCACATTCTTAAAAATGTTTCATGACAGATAATAGTTGCTGTAATTACAGCATCCTGGTCCAAATGCTCCCTGTTGGAAAATGGTGTTACTCTCTATATTGCATTAGTTTTAGCTGACTCTTGTAGTAACTCCAGTTAGTTAGTCATTACAAAAAGTGACACTATATTGCCAAAAGTATTGGGACACCCCTCCAAATCATTGAATTCAGGTGTTCCAATCACTTCCATAGCCACAGGTGTATAACATCAAGCACCTAGGAATAGCATTTCCTTGCTACTAAATATTCCTGTTAGCGGTATTACAACAAAGTGGAAGCAATTGGGAACAACAGCAACTCAGCCAGGAAGTGATAGGCCACGTAAAATCACAGAACACCTTTGGGATGAATTAGAGCAGAGACTGAGAGCCAGGCCTTCTCGTCCAACATAAGTGCCTGACCTCACAAATGCTCTCCTGGAAGAATGGTCAAAAATTCCCATAAACACACTCCTAAACCTTCCCAGAAGAGCTGAAGATGTAACAACTGCAAAGGATGGGCCAACTATTAAAACCTATGTATTAAGAAAGGAATGTCATTAAAGTTCATGTGTTTGTAAAAGCAGGTGTCCCAATACTTTTGGCAATATAGTGTATGTAAATGCATGCAACCGCCTCAGAACATGCAACTCTGCAATGTGCAGAAGACCGGTCAAAATGTTATTGATCGGATATTTTAAAAACTTCCTCTAAAAATCGAAGTCTCACATGAGGGAAAAAAAACCTGTAAGGGACCCAACTGCTGCTCTATGTGTACTTATGAATACAGGGTCATGGTGTTACTAAACAGGAGGAAAAACATGACTCACAGGTGCTGTGTGAAAAATGTTATTATTGGAAAATCAACATCAACATTGGGAAAGCAGGAGGTCAGCTAACCTACCAACAACCACATAAAGTGAGGAGTGTGACCTCAACTCAATGTACATGAATGGATACGATGCTCTTCGTTCCGTCTCATATTTTCTCCTCTGATTAAGACTCCGGTCTGGCCACCCACTATGCTACAGAGCAGATTGGGGTTTTCAATTTAGGTCACTCACAGCAGAAATATTTCACAGCTAAGTTCTGAAATCTTCACGTGATCCCCTTACAGAAGGGTCATTAAGTTAGAGAGTCTCTTTATTTGTGTGGGGGCATTCCAGTTATGTGGTTCAGTACCACCCACTTAAAATAAAAAAAAAACTGAGGTTAAAATGATGAAATACACAGAAGCCCCTTTCAGACGAAAGTTCACATGCTTGCATCTTCCAGTTCTAGTGACGTTTCCTCAGATGCTGCTTCTGAGGGACACGCATAAATCAAAACTGCCCAGAGTAATGGGACTTTGTAGACATTGAAGAGCACAGTGGCCCCGAATGAAAATGCCAACACAATACACAAAATCTTCTCTTATTCGTTATTGTGCAGTGTCAAAGGCCATCGGCGTAAAGGCTGCATTCTCATTCTATTAAATTCACAGGCTCACAAAGAGGTAACAATCATTACACAATGGAACCTAAAGTATTACATATGTTTGTCCGGTTTGCAAGACTAAACGGCTTATACTGTAGGAGTCAGTTAAACAAACTGACTTTTTTCGGTAAAGGAACTGTTTTATTATAGTTTTGTATAATTTCATTATTTTGTTATTGTTATTATAGATCGTTGCAAACAAACACACTGAACTAATTTCTTTAATGCCTATTGTTGGAGTCAGAACTCCGGCGGGTCCGTTGATGAGAAGAGATTCACCGCACAGTCGAGGAGTAGTTGCAAGTTACCAGTTTATTCTCTCTCAGATTGCAATCTGGGAGCAAACACCCGACATACATTCAGCATGTACAGGAAGATGCTCGACCCTCATGGGTCGGTTCTAGACTTTTATAGGCCTTTTGGGGTGTGGCCCCCCTTCTTCTGTACTTTTCCATCTACATGATTACAAAATATAGTGACTTTTGTTCTAGTTAGTGAGTACGTGTGCCCCCCTTTATGTCAAACAAGGTTAATATAAGCATTGCCTAATTTATGAGTTCCTGTTTTGCTAGAGCGGGGTCGTCTTGCCATAACCACCCTCTGTCAGTTCCTGATTTCCTCCAACTACTTGGTGTGCAGCCCCCTTGCCCTAGTATCGGTTCCCATGTCTAGTTTCTTCATTGGGTTAAAGGCCATTGGATTATAAATTTATTAGTTGCATTCCAAGCTGAACATCCCTTCACTATGTTGTACTAAAGCTTTTTATTTGGGTTCTGTTTTACTATTTTCACTTTTAAAAGAAGAAATATTGACAAACTGCCCCTTGTAGTAATGAAAAGATGTGCTTCAATGTAGCAAACATTAGCTAAGTATATTTGTTTTGATCCGTAGTTAAACAAGTTTTACGGATGAATAGCACCTGCCAGGACGCTCCACGCTCCGGAACAGTGACAAGAGACACGTCCGCGTGTCACCGCCTCGTTCGGCCGCATGAAAGAGATCTCTTTCCACGGATGTTTTCTTTTTTTGTGGTTCGGCAAGAGTGGTGGAGGGCTGCTGTGATGCCCAACCCTCCACTTCGCGTTATCTGACAGCTCCAGCCAGATGCGGCGGGGAACGTTTGACGGCGGGGGCAGCTCGAAGCGCTTTTTTCCGTCGTTGCTCGTCCTCGCCGCCCTCGCACTCGCGCATGCTTTTTTTTTCTTCCATTTTTTAACGCATATCTGAAATGCAGCTGCCTGCCGTGAAAACCCCCCCCCCCCCACCTCGTATTTGTATCGCGTAAAAATGTGCAACTAGTGAAAACAGTAGTCTAGGTCACTGGTCGGTTACACCTATATTGGCATTCGTACTCCACACACGCGTTGCACGGCCCACAATGCCCGGTGTTGCACCTGGCCGTTTCTGTGCAGAAGCTCGGCGAAGGTGTGGAAACAAATTCCGTTAGCAGCTTGGCTTCCTCTGTGTCTACTCATAATTTTGGGGTGGAAACACATAAAACACCGTGAGAGCGGCTCGAGGTGTAATTTGACATGCTCACGCCAGATACCGTGCAGGTGCTGCATTTGCACAGTGCTGGATGGGTATTTGACACGAGGTGTTTATGTGCACGCAGTACAATGTTACACTTCTTCATTTTGTCTCGCAAACAATTCCCCTCGGCGCTGTTTTTCAGCAGGTGAAGAACATCCCAGTACGATGCAGCGAACTGTCAACCTTTTGCAGTTCCTTCGTTGCCCAGATATGGAATAAATGTTCGAAGATGGTCACACGTTTTTTTTTTTTTTGGATATGCAGTAACCACATGAGTGGGGGGATACTCATATATGTTGCTTGTCCTTTTGTTGTGGTGTTTTTGGTCAGCGCCAGTGTAAGATAAACAGCCTCAAATCTGTCGACTTTGAAAATACTCGTTGCATGACAACACTGACATGACAAAAAACAGTATCAACCTGAGGGGTCTGCCAGTTGTACCCTAAGCTGTAGGTAAATGTACTTTTTAAGGTACAGAAATGGACTCTGAAGAACATTACATTGCATTAATGTTGTTAGTACCTTGGGGATGTTCCACAGAGTCCATTTCTGTACCTTAAAAGGTACACAGGGCTGCCAACTCTCGATCGTGCATCTGGCGTGATGCTCACACTATCAGACTCACGCTCCCACAAGAAATCTTATGACAAACCTATATTATTCCATTAAAATCCTAAAATTAGCTACATCAAAAGTGTTGGGGTAGCCTGCAAACACTACAGACTATTTACAAGGTAATGAAACTGTCACATATACATGTAAATGTGTGTGCAGACATATTTAAATGAAAATATCATGCCAGCCAGATGACCAAAGTTGGCAAACCTGGGTACAATTACCTACAGCTAGGTTACAATTGGCAGCCCCTTGAGGGTGAGGGGCCAGTGAAAAGTAATTGTACCCGCAAAGGTACAAAAATTAGTATGTTTTTCTGACAGTGTATAGCCAGCCACAGTACAGACTGATAAGACAAAACATCTGACAATTAAATGGAAATTCTCTGATGCAACTTTTAGTGGGGAACATGGCTAACACACAGAAGCATCTTCCTTTCACTTTCATACAAATGGGTTCAGAGAAAAACGTGCCAATGTTAATCTTTGCACACACGGTCGATATCTGCTCATACCAGCATGACACATACGGGCCACTATGTGTTTGCCCAGAATATACATGTAACATTGTTGTTTTACTGCACTAATTTATTTCAGGATCGCTATTCAAATACTCAGGAGTGGTAGCTATTTTACATAGGCCAGTGAATAATGACTGCGTGCACATTTTGTGTTATACACTTCGACATTTTATTCTTAACAGCCAACCTCATAGTTAATCACTGTTTGGCACCCTAAACAATGCATATTGCCTATATGGGAAAATATGCTAGTAGATAGAAATTTTCTAATGTTTCTTGATGTAGTGTAAACTAATCAGCAACTCAAGGCTTAAAGAATGGGGAGAATTTGAAAATTCCACATACACGTCAACCTAGCTGCACTGAAAGCTAGGTTAGCTAACTTTAATCACGAAAAACTCGCAAAACCGACTCCAGATCGGTATCTAGCAGCGAATGCATCCCCTTCTCTCCAGTGCGCAGGCGGAAGTGATTCTGAGCTGCGTCCGTGGATCCAACGTGCCAACCGGATGCGGAAGACCTGTTGTTATGGTAACTGTACTAGTTTACCATGGACGACTCCGCGTGCGGTTAGTGCATATTATTAACGGGCACGTTAATATCTCATTTACTTCAGAATGGACGAGAGATGTGCGGCAGAAAATACTTATAACATCAGGCCAAATTACCAGCACAAGTAAGACGTCATATTTATATAATTCAGTCTTTATGTATATCAAGTTATTTTGATAACGCGATTAGCGGTGCAATCTTTGCACTGATCTTCTGGCGTTTCTACTGCTGCACTGTAATTTTAATTTAATGCACAATGGAAACAGTAAACGGACATGCATTGCCTTGATAAAGTGATAAAGTCAGTTGTTTTAACTGGTGGCAGGTTTAAAGTCGGCTTGGTGAAGGAGTGTATGCGGCAGGTCCTGAAGGAGGAGCTGTCCGGCCAGCGGTACACCGGAGACAGTGCGCCGCAGCTGTCCACCTCTGTGGCGGACTGCATCCGGAAGAGACTCGAGGGTGGGAGACGGCAAAAGACGGGGGCCGCATCGTACAATCCGTACATACTGAAATCTATTGATAGTAAATCGGAGACATCCCACCTTATGTATACTGATTTCTGGGAGGCGGATGAGGGACAAACTGGATGGCTTAGACGGTATTACGGTAATACCCAATGCCTGGTGGGTGTGACGGCCTGCTGCTGGGTGGGGGTGTTGGGGTGCGTGACCCAAAAGCTCCCGATGGCAGATTGCATAGCTGCAACCGTTCAGGGGGATGGTTTCAACTATTTAAGTTGCTTATGTTAGTAATTTTGCGTTTAGGACCCGGGGCGGGGCGGGGCGGGGCGGGCCAGTTGCTTGCTGTGCGGTTTTAGCGCCGCTGAAGTAGCGGAGCGATAGATTTCCGGGACATTGCGGAGGGTCAGGGCGATGCTGTCAGTGTATGTGCTGCGCCCGGAAACCCGAGAGGAGAGCTTAAGATGTTTGCTATCTGCCACCATCTCCTATGAAACCACCAGACAAAACAGAGGTGGGATGTCGGGAAACATCATCATATAGAGGACAGCAGTTTTCTTTGATCTCGGTGGTAATATTACGTAATATCTCTCTACAGATATGGGGTTCGACCGCTATAAGTTTGTGGTGCAAGTAGCAATAGGGGAGCAGAGAGGACAGGGAATCAAGTGAGTGAACCGAAACTGATCTCCGTTCATTTTGATCAAGTTCTTCACCATGAAATATCATTGAAATATTTGCTACTCTTCTCTGCAGCTACATTTGGCATAACGTTTAATCTGAATAAGCATGTAAAGTATATTGTTTACTGGTAATTCAGCTCAGTAGTTAACTGAAACGCCTTAGGTTGAATGTCATTCTCAGGGGTACAATAGAGTTCCCCTCCTGAGGTTTTAAATGTCTCATTGAGTGACTTAATCACCGGCTTCCTGTTCCGGCTACCAAACTGCCAGTTGATGCCTCACTTTAACTCCAGGATGGGTGCTCGCTGCTTTTGGGATGCAGACACTGACGGCTACGTCCAGGAACTCTACATGAATGTAAGCCGATGCGTGGGTGCACAAGCCTTGCCTGCTTACTTTGTATTTCCTGTATTTGACGGTTAGATTTATCCGTGTTTTTTGTCCCTCACCCAGGACAGCCTTTTCTGTGTGGCTGCTGCTTTTGGATGCTTCTATTACTGAGGAGGGACCAGCTGCACATTTGGGAGACAGACTGGCTCTCTGTAGGACAAAGACAGCATATTCTGTATGGACTGAGTGGTCCATGTTGAGAAAATTAAATTCGTATGCAGATTGGGCTTTTCTGACCCAGCCTGTGAACACCATCATTAGCTTTAATAATCTAGGGCAGTGTTTCCCAATCCGGTCCTTGGGGACCCACAGCCGGTCCATGTTTTTGCTCCCTCCCAGCTCCCTGCCAGACAGCCCAAAAACATGGACTGTCTGGGGTCCCAGAGGACCGGGTTGGAAACACTGGTCTAAGGAGCAGTGCAAGTAGAACAGGGCCCATGAATTCTTTTGGACTTGTTGGGTTCATGCCAAATATGGCACTTTGTCTGGTTTTGCCAGACTAGAACATTCTGCACTATGTATAAAAGCTGCAAATGTCAACATTCAGTGAAACTTCCATTATTTAAAAAATTAATAGTTTTTTTCTTTGGGTATATAGAGGCCCATATAGAGTGAACCTAGAAAGAGATTGTCCCCTGTTTAATTTCCCAATAATTGAAATAACACTAATGATAAATAATAATACTGAAAATGTACTGCAGAAATTATAATCTTAGCTTTTCTGGGAAGTGAATAAAAGACTAAATATCACCATGTGTCACACTTTCAAATCCCAAGAGAGGCTCTCGTGTTTTACCTGTGAACATGGTACTTAATGCAGTTTTCTTCAGTAAAATATTCAGTGGATATCTTGGAGAGTCTTAATTATCTTGTGATCTAAATTAATGGTATTGTTACACGTAATTCCTTGCTTTGTATCATGTGATATTCCATTTGATAGTTGTATCCCACTAATATTTTTGTTGTTCTCATATTGCCGAATTTTAAACTTGGTCAGTTAAGTGATCGTTTTAAACTTAGAATTAATGTGAAGTAAGGTTTTTAGAATTATGGCATCTGTTTCTGCGATTGTGTGGAGAAATTGGAAAAAAGGTAACCCATCATAATACTCAGTGCCTTCGATATGGAGGAGTATGTTACACTTCCTAGCAGCCAGCATGGAAATTGCAGTTTTTTTTTTAAGTTTTTTATTTTTTTGAAGTTCTGACCATTTGCTGTATGCAAGTTTTTGGGAAAATAAAACAGAAGTAGGAGGTCTTAAGTGCATATTCTGTTTTTTTTGTTTAGAAGAAAATGGCAGAATATATTTTCTTTCCTATTCCAGACTCTTTCCTGGATAATTATGAACAAGAAGGCACGGTGGCCAAGGTTACTGTGTAATTTAAGAAAATATGGTGTTTTATTTTGTGCACTTGGTAGAAAATAAGGTGGTGACAGTCTTCATTTTTTCCTCATCTGATGCCCCGCTATTTCACTTGTACCCCTCCCCTGAAAAGATTCCACCCTGTTCGCATTGATTCACCTAATATTAATTATTTAAAATATGTTGGTAATTTTGTTTTGTCCTAAAGTGAAACATATGTCTTTTTTTATGTTTTGGGGTGGGGGGGATTGTTTTAAGTGTGTCAAGACATCTAAAAATATATCTGAGCTGTTCTTGGTGTCTTCTGTAACGGCAGTCTAAACTAGCCCTAGCCCACTATTAATTATGGAACAATGTGTAATGTTTCACTACCTATTTTGACACCTATTTCCGTCATACCAAAGTAGCTTTCCACAAATCATAGGAAGGACACCTTTAAAAAAATGTATTCATTTATTTTCTATTTTTAAATTTCCTATTAGTGCCACAGCAGCCATGTCGTGACACAAACCACAAAAAGCAACATTTTCCACTTTTAATTAAGCTGTTCCTCATGCAGGCTGAATGATTAATTTTCTCCATAACCAATTAGGGTAAGTGACTTCTCATGTAGCAAAAGCTGCGATCCAAGGCTTAATTTCACAAAAAGCTTCCTGGCTTGTGAGCCACAACTGCAGTGTCCTTACTCGCCACCTGTCCTCCTTTTGTATTGTTTTAAATAATGCTTGTCACGATGTATTTCTGCGCAAAATGGCAGAAGGCCAGTTTGGTGTGGCATGTTGGCAAATGGGTTACTTCGCCACCTCTAGATTGTGACTGGAACAGTAGTCAAAGTTTATTTGGCATTTGTTTTGGAAGCTTCCTTTTGAAGCCAGATACAAAAGATCTCTTTCGGTAATTCGGATATGGACAGTTAATGTCCAGACAGCTTATGTGGTTAAGCCTGTATCTCTGGGACCCAGTTTCACTATTACCCACGATTACATGTCTGCTAGAAAGCGGCCTTCCCCTACAATTGCCTGATGCTTTTTGGCCACAGCACTCGTAAATCAGCTCGCGGTTTCACTTTTTGTAGCTACACTGTCTGTATTCTGGTGTTCTTTCTGTATACCTTTGAACTTTTATCTAAAAGCAAATTAGTTCTCTGATACAGTGAAAAACATTTATAAACCTTTTTTTTTTTTTTTGTACAGAGCAGTTATCCAAAAAAGGTTGATGTCTTGTATGAAAGACAAATTGACAGTTTTTTTGTTTATAAATTTGTCAACTTAGATTTAGATGTGCAAGAATGAAATCAAAGAAAGAAAGCTAAACACCAAAACTGTAAAGGCTAAAATATGCACAAGAAGTAGGTGAAGTATTTTATTTGTGCATGTTTGCTGTGTTCAGTCCTGAAGACAAATGTATCTTCTGAGTTGACCTTGTCCAGATGAGCTCCAATGCAACGAGCCTGAAATGATAGTCATGCATTTTTTTTAAAAGCCAGAATCTATTTTTTGTACTTACTGAGTATATTTTGAGTGTACAATAGCTGTGTAGTTTAAAAAGTAAAATTACAATAGTATTTAAATTACAATAGTTGCTATGGTTCAGCTTCTTCTTAGGCTGTATCTTAAATAAACATTGTAAAACAAAGTACTACTGTTCCAGGATAAATGTTGCTCTAAGATGAATAATAAATTAAGTCTTGCTGTGTTTAAAGGTAACTTTTCATGTGGACTGTCTGCACTTTGCTTATGCATTTTTATTCTATGTTAGCATCGAGGAGAACAACAAAAAAAACAGCAAAAGGCAATGAGACGCCCTGCTGGGGCAGCGCGAGTCAGCTTCCCTTGTTAGTCAGCTTGCAAACATCATCTAGTTCAAGGCCAGGAAATGATTTATTCTGCCCATTAATAATTCTTTGTGTTTAAGTGGCTTAAAACCATCACACATTTCGCAGGCTTAGCCCAACATGAAAAGATCAAGCTGTCTTCAATTTAGTCCATGCTGTTCCACGTCTGAAACCCTACATGCACCATAGCTTCAAGCAACAAAGCTCTAATGAAAACGTACAGGCAGTAATCCTGCTGTAATTAATAGAGAAAACAAATTAGCTGATAATGCATTGGCAAGAACTCGTTAGCGGGTTGGAAGTTTCGTCTAATCTAAACGAGTTCTTTGGTAACTAGAACAGTTAAGTAAAAGGTTGTTTATCCTAAACGAAATGTCACCGTCAAGCCTTGTTTTGCATGGTGGAGCGATGCAATCTGTACTTTTAAAGTTCATTTTAATGCAGGAAAGATTTTAGAGCGTACATGTATGGAAATATGGAGGATGGTTAATACGCAGTCTTTAAATCATTCATAACGTGCCCTTTGCGGAAAAACCTGACGGAGATTAAATCTTGATTGCAGAAAAAAAATATTCACCGGTCTAAAAAGTCACATTTTATACCGAACTAACTAAAATATTTCATACCAGACTTAACTCAAGCATTGAGAGATAAACAAATCTTAAATAAAAGTTTTAGATTGATTAATTTCACTGAAGAACTTCAGGTATGCATATGGTTTTGTATGTGGTCCTGCGGGAATATGCCACGATAGACGATAGATAGTATGACAATAAAGCCCATTTGACTTTTTTTTTTACTGGGACCTATGTCAGGGGTCCAAATACCCTATCTAGAATCACAAGGTTGAACTGTTTGTCATTTTTCATTTGGTTCCACTAATTGCCAGCATCTATTTTGCATTAACGAGGAGTACTGGACCTTGTGACAAGGCCCCTGTTGATTCAGGCTAACCGAGACAGATTAGTGTGGGCAAAAATCAAATTAGTGCCCTCCGGTGGCTATCAAGAGGGCAAAACAGAATGGGAAAAATATTTGAAGCAATGGTTTGTTAAAATGATTTTAAGGAGTGGGGACGGGTAATTTGCATTATACACACTGTGTGAGAACAGACCACACTTTTTTAGCTGTCATCCTCTGAGGTTTACAGCTGCTGAGACCATCCAGGAAGAAAGGATGTGGGTTTGGTTAAGACTCTCATTCTTGGGGTCAGAATGAAAACGCCTTTAGTGTTCAGAGTGACATGCGTGCATGAGATTTATGTTGCGTGTCAAGCTTTTAGTGAGATGTCAGAATGGTTTTCCTCTGTGGGGATTTAAGTATGGTAAACATCAATAACAGTGCTCAACAAATTTTTTTTGTCATTTGAATCAAAATAAGTCAGAATTGTTTGTGCTAAATTCACATATCTAATCAGAATTTCCCTACCATGCAAGGATTTTGAGTGACACACAATTAAACTTCCAGTGTATTCGCAGTGTATTTGCACGATGGAAGTGACTC